CAGACACGAGGACACGAATACGACCCGGTACGACGACACAACATAATTGAAAAAATAAAACATGATACGATAAAGACACATTTTTTGTATTTAATAAGTGATTAACATAAATATCTATTTAAAATATTTTCTACTAAATACATTACAAAAAAAACAAATGCAATCCTCAAGAAAACTTTATAATCATAAAAGTTATTTTTTACAATATCAAAATTACATTCAAAATATCAATAAATTACTAAAACACTTACTATAAATGTGATCCATAAAAAAAATTAAGTAAAATATAGAAAAATGACAAAATATAACAACATAATTATTATTAATTGGAGTTAATGCATTCAATATTAGTGTCATCATTTGTGCTAGCTCTATTGCCCTCATCAATGTCACATTCACCCTCATTAAAAAAAAAAGTTTCTCAGCATGGTTTATCAAGAGAAAGATTAACAACTTTAAGGATTCCAACATCATTCATTGTAGCAAAGACATCTCCACCAACATCCCATAATTTTATGTCCTCCTTAGAATACTATGGGCTCCTCCTAGACAGAAAGAATTTAGTGTGAACAAATACCAAATCATCATCTCATTGCAGAGTAATTTTGTTTCTCTTAAGTGAATTGAAAAAAGAATATGTACTCCGGTTTCTTTCACAAAAAAAAGATCAACACGGTTGAGCCAACAATTTTAAAGCTAAAATTTGGAGTTGTGGGGAACTTGCTCCAAAAATCATCCACCATGCATTTCTACCTGTAATAGCTTTAGAAGCAATGGAGTCATGATTCACAAGACATCAAATAAATCCAAAGAAGTTAGCAAACTCCAAATTAACAATATATCTTTCTTCAATGTTTGGCAAAAATCTCTTCAATTATTTATTTCTTTCAATTGATATCTCAATGTCCTTTTGTGGAGTAACACGATTTGGAGCTTCACTTAGTCAGGCATGACAATAGTACCAAATTAAAAATGCATTTTTAAGTGGTATAATTAATAAAGGATAAACGTCATATCAAATAATACATTGGATTTGTACAAGTGCTTAGAAGGCTAGATCCAATAGTGTTGGCACTTACTTTGAAGCAAAGAAACGTGACAAGTGTGGAATGTCTCACAATGGTAATGTTTATTTGGGTCAAATACTTGCTTTTGGTGTCACCAACAATGCCACATGGTGAAGAATTACCCTAAACTGGGTCAGAAGCCTCCAACAGATTCAGGATCGGTGTTGCATCACCTCAAAGGAGCCATGATAGGCTGAGGGTAGCTGAATCTTTAGAATGAGTGTCAAATATAGGTTAGTTTGAACAAAACGTTCAACTCAGAGTATATCCATTATCACAGAAGGAAGCTAAAGATTTCCGTGATGTCATCACATATATGTTTTCTTTTTAACAACTTTAACCAATACACTTTAAGTATCTCAGGATTCATGTCATGTCATATATAAAGCAAGCAAGGGTTTAAATATATTAATAAACTAATTTTAAATGTTAATATGATGATTTTAAATGATAGGTATCATATATCTTCATAGTAGGCCGATAAAAATGTTATTTGATTCAAAAGCATCACATTCTTTTATTGTTGATGAACTGACTAAAATGATGCAATTGAATGTCATTTCAATGACGGTGATATTGCCAGTTAAAATGTCAAATGGTACTTTTCAAGAAGTTGATCAATCATGTGAGGTGAAGCTTATGATTGGCGAAAAGGGTTTTAATGCCCAACTTATTATGTTGTATTTGGTAGAATTTGATGTGCTTTTAGGCACGGATTGCATGTATGAAAACTTTATCACTATTAATTGCAATGATAAGATTTTAAAATAAATGTATGTGAGGAAGTAGAAGTAATTTTTTTTGTGACAGAGAGTTGTAATCCATGATAATTACATGTAATAAACCTTGTAAATTGTTGAATCATGAAAGTTGGAGTTTTCTTGCTTAGGCGAGACTTTAAGGAAGCGATGTCTTTGGGTGATATTCTAGTGCCAAGAGATTGCTCTGAGGTGTTCCTTGATGACTTACCAAGGCTTCCACTAGTGCGATAAATTGATTTCAATATTGAGATCTTACCGAGTTTTGAGCATGTATATAAGGCACCATATAAAAATAAAGGTTAAAGAGTTGCAGGAGCTGAAGAACCAACTGCATAAATTGTTAGATATGGGATTCATCAAGCCTAGCACCTCACCTTAGGGAGCTCCAGTGTTATTTGTGAAGAAGGATGATGGGAGCTTTAGAATGTGCATTGATTATAGAGAATTGAATAAGCTTAATGTTATAAATAAATATCCATTGTCAAGGATTGACGATTTGTTTGATCAGTTTCAAGGGGCTTTAGTATTTTCAAAGATTGATATGGGGTCAAGCTATCACTGGTTGGGGATTAAAGAAGAAAACCTAGCAAAGACTGCTTTCAGAATCAGATATGGGCACTATGAATTTGTGATGATGATATTTTTAATGACCAGTGCACTTGCAGTTTTTATGGACCAGATGAATAAGATCTTTAGATAGTTTTTGGATGCTTTCGTGATTGTCTTTATAGATGATATTATGGTATCTTCGAAGGATGAAGTTAATTATGCAGATCATTTATATGCCATGCTATAAGCTTTGAGGAGAATACACTTATGTTATGTTTTCTATAAATCAATTTTGGCTAAAAAACGAGTCTTCTCTTGGACACATTATCTGGAGATGCCATACATGTAGATCAGAACAAGGCGAAGGAAATTGCATACTGCCCAAGACCTACAACTGACAGTGAGGTCAGGAATTTTCTAGGACTATCTAGTTATTGCATGAGATTTGTTAAATGGTTTTCAGAAGCTATGCCACTATCAAGGTTGACTTAGAAGGCAGTGAAATTTGAATGATTGGATCGTTATGAGGAGGCTCTTTAGAAGCTGAAGACCTGTTTAATGTTTGCTCCAGACTTCAGTATTAGCCATTTCGTACGGTTTTGATGGATTTCAGATTTTTCAGTGATGCTTCTTTGAGGGTTTTGGGCTGTGTACTTTTGCAACATGGTAGGGTCATTACATATGCATCATTATGATTAAAGAATTAGAAAAGGAACTATGAAACTCATGACTTGGAGCTTATTGTAGTTGTATTTGCGCTTTGTATCTGGAGGCACCATCTGTATGAAGTTAGATGTGAAGTTCTTACAGACCATAAAATTTGAAATATATTTTCACTAAAAAATAGTTGAACCAGAGGTAGAGGGGATGGCTAAACTTTATTAACGATTATGACTTATATACTCTGTATCATCCAGGGAAGACAAATGGTGTGGCTAATGGGCTGAGTAAGAAAGCTTTAGGTAATTTGAACAATTTATTTACTCAACGGAAACATTTAATTAAAGATCCATAGAGGCTAAGGCTGCCTATAGTTGATTATGGTGATGGTAGCATGGCTCAGTTATATCAGTTGAAGGTGCAACAAATTTTAAATGACATAATCAGAGATTCTCTAGCCAGAGATAACATTATTAAAAAAATTATGGAGCAAGTTAAAACAAGCAATTTAGGAAAGTATGAACTAGATTAGGATGGTTTATTGAGGTATAAATGCAAGGTCTATGCTATGGATGTTGATGATACGAGGAAAGAAACAGTGGAGGAAGCACATTTTTTTGAATATACTATTTACCCAGAGAACAATAAAAATGCATCAGGATATCAAAGAAACATTTTGGTGATCAAGATTGAAGAGAAGTGTGGCATAATTTGTGATCAAGTGTCTTTCGTGCCAGTCAGTGAAGGCAGGGCATAAACGTCCTGAAGATCAATTGCAACCTCTACCGATTCCATAGTGGAAATGAGAGGCGACTGCAGTTGATTTTGTGATTGGCTTACCTTGATCCCGTCAATGTCGTGATGCCATATGGGTAACGATTGATCGACTAACTATGTCTACCCATTTCTTACATATTAGAACGACAGATCTGGCTGAGAAGCTGACCAAATTATAAATGGATCAATTTGTAATGTTGCATGAGGTGCTAATGTCTATTGTTTCTACCAGAAATGACATATTTATATCCAAATTATGGAAGAAAGTTCAGAAAGCTTGGGATACTCGACTGAATTTCAGCATAACATTTTACCCTCAGACAGATGACAAATCAGAGAGGATGATTCAGACATTGGAGGATCTACTAAGGTTTTGTTTTATTGACCTTGGTGGAGGTTGCGAATCACATGTACCTTTAGCAGAGTTTGCTTATAATAACATTTACAAGATTAACATTGTGATGGGTCCATATGAAGCCTTGTATGGAAAGAAGTGCAGAACACCTTTTTATTGGGCTGAAACATGTGTAAGAAAGAATATTGAAGCTGGTGGTTGATGATGCTACTAAGAAGATTAAACTGACCAGTCACAGACCGAAGGCAATACATGATAAACATAAAATATTATGATGCTGAGCAAATACTAATTGAGTTTGAAGTTCGAGAGTTTGTTTTTATCAAGGTTAGTCAATTGAAGGGTGTGCAACGTTTTAAGAAGGCAAGAATGTTGAGCCCCAAATATGTCGGTCATTTTGAGATTGTGGAGAGGATTAAGAAGATGACTTACAGATTGGCTTTACCAACACATATGCATGGAGTGCATAATGTTTCCTATATTTATTCAGTGAGTGTATTTTACAAACGAAGCTAGTAAGGTGATAGCAGACTCAGTTGATATTTAGCTTGACCTGACTTATATCGAGGAGCCTAAAAGTATTATGGACTATGATGTGAAGAAATTGCGGAATGGAGAGATTCCTTTTGTAGAGATTTAGTGTAAGCATGCGTCTTAGAAGAATGTTACTTCCAAAAAGTTAGGTGAGATATCCAAATCTTTTTGATTGGGGTATGATTTTTTATTTTAACTATTTTTAAATTTGGAGTAATTTTTTTTTAAGGGCGAGGAGATTGTAATAACATAAATGGAAAAATATAAAAATAAAAAATGAGAAGTGGAGTCATCCCGTCGGATCAAACATGTCAGATCGTTCAGCCCTTCGTTCCAACCATCGAATAGAAGCGAACAAGAGAGACAGCGGGAGGGATTGAGAAGTTACTGTCACCTAGCCGAAGGAGGAGAAGAAGAAGGAGAAGGAAGGATTCTGCGGTACTTTTGAGACCTAAGGAAGAAAGGGACCTCGAGTGTCGAGGGCTTATCTGGATCGAGCCGCGATCTAATAGGAGGAAGGGAGTCGAAACCTCTGCATGCGCTGCTTTGTTGAGTTGAGTCGAAGCCGAAGGAGGAAGAGAGAATCTTCCCGCGGTGCTCGCGCACAGGAAGAAAAAGAGAAGACTACTCGCGCTTCTCTGCGTCCGAGTCCAGACCGAAGGAAGAATAGAGGAACGGTAATCGTGGGTGCTCCGTTGGATTGCGCTGAGATCGAAGAAGAAGAACAAAGGAAGGGAGCTCGCACGGTTGAGCTGAAGGCAGGACGAGGAAGCAGGGAACCATCCTTTCGCGCGAGGTGTTAGGGCAGGCTGAACAATACTAGAAGGTAAAATGTTATATTTAATTAAGTTAATTTGTTCCTTATTTTATGCGTGAGTATGTGATTATGAGTTCGATAAAACAAGTGTTAATAGAAAGTTATTTGAATCAAGAACAAATCTGTCTAAATTCTGAATTTTGTGGGAGAAGTAACATAATCTTCACATGAGAAGGAAAAGAAAGATTGTCGGGCACCCAAAAGATTTTAAGCTAGGCTGGTTTTTCATTAAATTGATTAATGAATTTATTATGCGTGTGAAGGTATGTTTATTAAATAATGTTAATGGAAAGTATTTGGAAATCAGGACTCAAATAGTTAGAGATTTCAACTTCGAAGGAAGAGAAGTTTGTGAAGCAAGCAAGCGAAGGATCAAACTCAAATCCTACAAGGTAAATGTTAAGTCTTTGGTGTTATTGAAATTAATAATATAATTAGTTAAGGTAACATTATTAAAATTAATAACTGTTAGGAAGTGAGGAAGTATCTGGTAAATTCTTGAAATTTGAAGGAGATAAATGATTTTAAAGCTAAAAGAGGTTAGCATTCTAATAATTCTTTTATATTTAAATATAAGTTTCTTTAGGATATAATTCATAGTTATATGCACATTTAATTGGTTTAGATGCTAAGAAGCAAGTGAATGGTTAAGTATTTCAGATGTCTGTTAAGGCTAAGGTAAGTAATTTTTTTCTTACATGTATTACATTTAAAGTTTATTAAATAAATAATTTCTTTAATGCTTTAGGTAATCATTTTATGCTTGTATCGTAACTTAAGTATGAAAGGAGAAATGAAAGAAGAAAGAGAAAAAGAATGCTAAATGTTTAAAAAAAGTAATTTAAATGAAAGGAAATGAAAGTTAAAGATTTAAGTCGTATAAGATTACCCCCATATGTTTCCCAGATGGTATTGACAGAGGATGTAATATACTAATGCATTCAAAAGAAAACGGTAAAGGTGCGCCTTCGGGTGCAAATTGAGGGTGCCTTTGAACATATTTTGAGGGTATATTCGAACACATTTTTTAGGATACATTCGGGTATAATGATAATCTTGTTATTACTTTTAAGAATGTTAAAAGCGACAATTACTTAAACTAGAACGAAAGGACTAAAATTAAAGTTTTAATGAAATGTACTATATTTTCCTTTGATCATTAATGGATAACATATCATGACATATGAAATTTAATGCATATTAGATTATAATTACTCACTAAGTTGTACTTACAATTGTAGTTAATATTTTCTTTCAAGAAAATAAAAATTTTAGTGGTTATGTATGTAGAAGAGACTTTGTTTATCAGAGGAGAATCATTGTTGCTAGGTATATTTTTTTTGAGGATAGTTTCTCTTAACCGTTTCTTTTAAATATTGATATAATGTTTGATACTGGCTTGATATGTTATTTTTTGGATGTTATTCTCGATGTTTTAAAAATTATTGCTTTGCGGATTAGTGGTCATTTATATGTATTGGAAGTTTTTTTTTTAAATGTGGATAGTTAGATGTTAACACCGTCCGACTGTTGTTATTGCCTTAGTTAATTTTAAGCACCGGGTCAGGCCGTGACAAAGACCGTAAGAGTTCTAAATATCTCCAATATTGAACATCTTTAATATGAGGTACGTTGTATCAATAGATTTGTTGATAAGGATAAGTTATTTAATGTTTGTCGTTCAATTCAACGTAGAAGTTTGAAGCACCACCCCTAAAGAAATCTGATTAAAATCTGACAGTGAATCTCCCATCCTCTAATATTTTATCCAGAGGTCCTTGGATTATGAGGAAGGTGAATCATTGCCTTAAAAAAAGAGAGGGAATAATGAAAGTTGCCAAGAATGTTCTAATAGGACTATAGGAGAATCATTTTGCAGTTTTTAACATGTATTAATAAGAGATATGGAGTGATAAGATTAGCTTTTATGTATCCCATGTCGTCCTAATATTTCTGGTTTAGATGATGGTTCCAATGACAAGCTTAGGGTATTTGGGGTAATGCGGTTTTATTGAATCAACAGCTTGCTTTTTGTTGTATTTGTTTTTCTGAGCCATTTTGTTTAAATTCCTGGGATTTGAATTTTGAAAGCCATGCTTTCTGCAAAGCTTGAACACCCTGTTTGGATCTAAAATTCCAAGATTTTTTTATGTATTTTTGAATGAATTTATTTTTAGGATAAAATCTTGTAAAAGCAATTTTTTTAAGCGAATCTTCTTAGCCTATTTAGGGAAAAGGAGAACCAAAACCAATTGAGGCCTTGGAATTCTTAAACATTGATAATCTCATTGTTTTGCTAGAATTTAGCACGTGTATTAGATCTATCCTTTCATTCATATCTCTTTGTTTGTGGATTTTCTCTACGTTTCATGCTTATTTGGCCACAAACACCATGTTGTTTGTGTTGGAATTTCATTATTTCACACTTTGTTTATTCTTATTTTCCCTTTGCAATCTTTGTCGCACTTTAGACATTCTATTTCCGTTGTGATCTTCATTTCATTATTAACTAAAATGATCTTGATTTCAGCTAAACATACTTGATATTAGCCTTATTTGCGCTTAGCGTAAGTTAAGTATGTTATACTACCAACTTTTTACGAAGGCAAGGGTTATCATCTTCGCATGTATTATATCATTCATTCACATCTTTGAGTAATTATGATTTATAGCATATTTTTCATCTTTTTTAAATGCTCAATGTTATATTTGATTATTTAAAATCTACTTTAACTCTCAACCACTAAAATATGTAAATAAATAATATCTATTGTGCATGATAAGCACATTTATCCTTCTAGAAGGATATTACTTCCTCTCGATTCCTTTCTAGTGGATTCTATCTTCAAATTTACGCCTAGTTTCAATCTATCATTCAATATGATCAAAACTCAAATAACAAGCTCTTTTTTCATTGCTCTGCAAAAAAAAACAACCTCACTTGGATGTAATTTCTTCATTGTCCGTTTAAATTTACAATCATAATGATTTGAGAAGTGCATTCACCTCAGCTTGTCTTCTTTATTCATTTTTAATTCCAATGCCGTGCTACTAAATGTGATTAAGGCTCCGTTTGGCGCCACTAATAAGCGTGTTTGACGTTTTCAAAACGCCGCTCCACTATTTTTTTCTTGAGCTCACATCACGTATCCGGAAACGACGTTCGATGTCTTTTAATAGATGCGGCCGCAGGGTTTTTCTCTTGCTTCCTCAATCTTTTCACACCAAAACGCCGCTCCACAGTTTTTTTCTTGCTTCCTCAATCCGCGTTCAGGGTTTTTTTTCCTTCTGTGCCTTTTATGTTCGTCTCCTCCCTCGTTCGACCGCTGTTGCCCAAGGTCACTTCTCCCTGACATCTCTCCATCGCCTTTCTCTCGGTTGCTCCTATCGACAGATCCCGGCTGATATCACCATCAATGTTAAGGGGTGACTAAACCAAAGTATTTAAATTTAATCATTTTTCCTCCATGACACTATGGTGCGAGTTAAGGTTACGCCCAGTTTGATTCAAGTTTATTTGACCTAATAATAAGGCTTTATTTGAAGGAGTTGTTGCTAATGATAAAATCAGCTGAAACATTATAGATAAAGCTGAGTTAAGAAACGAAAGTTGCCTAATATATGCTATTGTTTGAAAAAAAATATTGTAAGGTTGTCGTTTATAACTTGCAATTTTGTAGCAATTTAACCAGTCTATTGTGAATACTTTTTTGAGACAAATAATAACTATGCCTATGTATTGAATGCTTTTGTTAAAATTAGGTTAATGAAGTAAATTAACCTTTTTTTTTAGTTCGACTATATTTTCACATCAAACTTACTAGTTCTTACTTTTGAAATTATCAAACAACAACCCTTATGATAGCGGCACAACGGGGAAAGCAACAGATCGCTCAGTTGTCTTCCTCCTGGAACCAAAAACTGACATAGTTGACAACAAAAATTGGTTCAGGACAACAACTAACAGGCTCCGCGAATACCCCAGGATCAAACATCAAATTTTCTAAGGAACACCCACTCTCGGAACAAAGAAGAGATAAAATGAACTCCCAATAGTTCACTATTCATTAAAGAAACCAGTCTTCTACAGAAGATGGCTAGAAAATACACTTGGACAATCCAAAAAGGCCAATATGCCCTTTTAAAAGAAAAGAAAACAGTAAAAACATAAAAGAAGACTAAAAATCAATACGAGGACTATCCTAGATTGCTCCCACATCATTCTCCCCGGGTTGGAGAAGCCTCTTTTTGTCATCAACTGTCTAAATCACCTTCTTAGTGGAGAGTCAAGTCAGATACATTAAAAGCGATAGACACCTTATAATCTCCGGGGAGATGAATTTTATTGGCATTGTCATTAACGCGTTTGACCACCATAAAAGGACCATCAGCTTTGGCTAAGAGCTTTCCATGCTTGCTCGGAGGAAAATGTTCTTTGTATAGCCGAATCCAAACCATATCTCCCTCCTTGAAAGATACAAATTTTCTACGCTTGTTGGCTTGCCGGCGGTACCCCTTGTCTTATGGATGATATTATCTCTTACCAACTTGTGCATGTTTTGTATCTCTTGTATGTGGGCTTCCACTTCAAAACAGGTTTCACAATCAAACCTTTAAGTTCAATCCCTTTGAAGTGCATTTTCAAGCAAACTTCAATTATGTAAATAATACGTAACTTATGCTAAGTGCAAATAAAGCTAATATCAACTTATACTCAATTCTTATGTATTTATATTTTTTACACCTAAACTTTCATATTTACATACATAGCACTTTGGTGGTTTAAATTTATGTGTGAAAAGGTGTATTTTCTTATTGAAAAGTGATGATTGTTCTATTAATGATGTGATGTTAAAGTTTCGAGTGTTATGTGTGTAAATATGAAAGTTTATGTGTGAGATGTAAATACATGTGAATCGTGGGCTGTGCATGTGAAGGCCCCAAAAAGCAAATTTGATCTTTCTATTGAATATCATGATTATGTGTTGTGTCTGTAGTTCTTGAAGCTTTTGCTATGTGGTTGAACATATATTTGAAACTAGTTCCTATTTTTGCCAGCTCCAAGCCCTTTTGTGTATTATGATATTGTGTAGTGTTCCTATTTATTTTTTTAAGAAAAATCATTAATGCAACTTAGCACCACATAAAATGCTTATTTCTACTTTCAATCATGCCATTATAATTTTCATCCTTATGGAGTTTTTTAATTTTGACATTTGCAGAGCATATTTGAAATCAAAGCATTCTTTTGCGAGCTATAGCTTGTTTGAGTGAAAATATAGACGCCTGTAAGTCATTTTACTTGCTCTTATTCTCATGCGGAGATTGGTTGTATGGTCAGTTTGCAGCTTGCTCAGCTGATAAGCTTTGGACTATGAATCCAACAACAATTCATTACGGGCATTTACTCACATATCACACAATTCTTATGTATGCACATATCTCACACCTAAACTTTTATATTTACACACATAACACTCAAATCTTTATTATCACATAAGAAATAACACTATTACCACTTTTTAAAGTGAAATACACCTTTTCATGCATAGGGTTAAAGCACCAATGTGTTTTTTATGTAGATATGGAAGTTTAGGTGTGAGACATGTAAATACATAAAGAATTTTGTGCTAAGTATATAACTTTCCCTTCATTATATCAGCTCCAACCTTTTTGTTTCTTGTGGTTTTTTTCACCCTTGTTTATAGATTATTTGTTTCTATATTTTCAGGAATTATATTTGGACATAATATGACGTCTGCTCAGGATCCTTTTTATATAGTTAAAGAAGAAATTCAAGACTCTGTATGTCAGGCTTGTTGCATTTTCATGAAATTTAATTATTTACGTTATGCTACAGTTATTCTGAACACATCGCCTTATTTTGACATACCATATTTAACCATCTGCTTTATTAAACCTAGGTGGATCAATGACCATGATTTTAAGTTGATAAGTTCTACGGTTTTAAACTTATCCAAATCCATTGTGTTAACTTGGTTGATTTATTTTGCTAGTTTGCAGTCTTAATTTGTAATTCATTCTCTTTTCGTGATTAATAATTTGTGCATGCAAAACTGGAGTTCTAGCAGCATTATTAGAAAGTATATTTATGGCCTTTAATGTGAAACATGAATATGTTGGTCTGAATTTTTCTGTCAGTATGCTGGTTTGGGTGTCTTTTATCCGTGTCTATGTTCATGCATGTGTGAATGTGTCTTATGTTGTGTATACTGGCGTTTGTATGTGTGTGTGTGTGTACCAAGTTACATTGATAAAGTCAAATCCATAGTCACAAACTTCTGATATAGATTAATAATCATTCATTTAGAGATAAAGAATACAAAAAATTCGTCGAACGTAAATTTCACATAAAAATTTCTAGATCATAAAATAATCACATGTTAAATTGAAAAACTTGGTATAGTTGGAAATCATATTGTACTAGATTTGACAATACTTAATCATGCGATTTAACCTTCTTAATAAAAACTTGAGAATCAACGTAAGTAAAATATGAGATGCCAAGATAAATAGCTTAAGTCTCACACTAATATAAGGAGATTACTTCTTTTGAAATTTTAGAATAATATAATAATTGCATCCAACTTGAAATTCACTCAATCAAAGATATGTTTTTATTGCCTTAAGTCCTATATTTATAAAATGCTTTTAACTCCAACAATAAATTAGTTGATAGGATTGATGATCATATAACAAAAAAGAGATTTTGTGATTGCAACTGGATTGATGACAAATGATTAGTTTTTGCGATTAGGATCATAAATGGAAGGCCACTGGTTTCTTAATTGAGTTTGGCGGTCGTAGGAGTTGGATTTAATATAAAGTAGTTGCGGAAAGCTTGCATGGAAGTGTTCCAAATTATACATTTGTGTGCATGCTTTTCTGTCTACTCATCTATCTCTTTCTACATATGTGCATGAATATATATATATATATATATATATATATATATATATATCAAAATATATTTCAATATCACAAACATTATATATATATATATATATATATATATATATATAACCAATTAGATTACGATATCCCAACCATATTTTTATTTTAGAACGAGTGATACGATTGACAAGGCACGTGGTCACACTAGTAATTAAGTGAAGTATAAGGATATCATCCCATTGAGTTTGGCATGACAATTATTGAAATTAACTTGGTGAACTATTATCTAAATGATTGGATTAGAGCAATGCAATGATCAAACCTAAAATTAAGAGCAAGGAAAAATACTATGACTAACTCGAACGAAGATTAACTTAAAGAAAAATCAAGGCAACAAGGCCATAATGTTTGAATTTCACATGTGTTGGTCAGAATAATCAATATTCAAATAAAAAAAATTCTAGTTCGGTGTAATGGTATCATGTTCCAATTAAAAGGGATTGTTATTTTGCTCTCAAGGATTTTTGCTTTCTTTTGCATAATCTATCTACCTCTAGGTGATAGATTCAATGTGAGAGTTGTATTCGATGCTAAGAATCTCAATGCGGACCACATGGCTTCTCCACACTTATCTCTTTACGGTCCATCCATTGTGTTGTTTTTGGCCCACAACGAGTCAATCCTCCACTTTTCGATTTTGTAAATACCTTCTAAGTTACTAACAATATCCACACAATCAACAGTTTGTTCTTAAATTGAGTAAAACACACACTATGTAAGGGGGAACTAAAACATCAAATATTTATCATTTACATCAACTAATTAAACCAAATACATGTTTCATCCAACCCCCCAAAAGGGGATCAATTCATGCTTAAGAAAGACAACTAAAAATAAATAATCCTCGAACATGTTTACAACACATAGGAGTAATTAAAAGAGTTGCTCGATTGGGCGTTGGGCCTGGCTCCTAGGCACTAGAGTAGTGAATGGATTTGATGCTTGGGTGCCAAGCTCTCTATTTATAGGGTTGAAATTGGTGCTTGGGCGTACGCTTTTGACATTTGGGCGTCTTGTTCTCGGCTTAGTTCATCTATGTTGGCACATATGCACATGTTTCTGACACTTGGGTGCCTAACTCTTGGGTTGGAACTTCCCTTATAAAGCCTAGGTATCTGATAGTGGCGTCTAGCCCTTAGCTAGGCTCCTAGGTTCCTTTTTGTGCTGAATAAGTTCTCAAACTTTTGAATCCACTGAGTGAGGATTTTACCACATTTTCCTTGTATTTAAGCATATTTTTACGCACCCGACAAGATTTGAAATTAATTTAATAAAAATTCTCTAATAACTTACCAATATTCATTAATTTGAAGATATAGCGTGGGTCAAATGTGTATATATATCACGATTATTAATGAGTCTCAAAGATATTCGATTGATCTTGATATTAGTGTTGTACAAAATTTAATTGGTTGTTAATGTATTGCGCTCATTTCAAAACATCCAACGATTTTAAGAACTACAGAGAGAGAGAGAGAGAGAGAGTACTTCCTTTTAAAAGGATACAAGCCTTTAACCTCGCACAACTTACCATTGATCCGTATCTTTGAATGATTATGATTTATAGTGGATTTCACTAAATTAAATATGCTCTGGAGATTAAATAAAAAAATAAATTGGATCTATTTTAAGGTTTTTTTTTTTGATTGAGGCTTAATCTTAACCAAATTAAGCCAACTTAGGTGATGATTGGCGTAGATATTAAATGGAGTTACACCATTTTTATGAAAGAAGATAAGATGTTGTAAGCCTTGTTTACATTTTTGGATTAAGCTTACTTCCTTAACTCATTACAGTGTTTTAATTTTGGATAAACAAGAGTTGATGTACTAGTATTGGAACTTAATTATGGTTATATGTTTAATATTTAAATTTATTTGATGAAGTTTAGAGTTATTTTAGTTTAAATTTACTTAATTTTGAAAATTAAGCTTAATTACTTTGAAAGGATAAGCCCATTATGATTACCAACTTAATAATTGTTATATTTACTTCAATGAATTTTAAATTTATTTAAGCTTAAGTTTTACTACTTGCTCAACTTATCTTTTTGTTCATTTATGACATAAGTCGATCAAGAGGTTAATTGACTTGATGATGTGGGAGCAAATCAAGAGTATTTGATTGCTAAGATAAGGACTCCAGAGAGAATCTAAGATATTGCGGATAGGAACTTGAGTCAAGATCATAATCTCTAAGTTGACGAGACTCATAGAGGCCACTCCTTCACTTTCCCCTCAAATTGTTAAAAGCTATTCCGACCATCATCTCATTGGAGATCTTACTCGTTTCTCCTTTGTGCAATCCATTATGGGTTTGACGATGGCTTTGAACTTTGGCCATCTCCACCAATGGACACTTATCCAAAGTCTCTAACTCTTTGACCAACAAAGTGTTTTACCAACTAGTTATTGCTCATCCATGCTGCTTTTTTCTGCATGACACTGTGTAAGATTAGCATAAGTGTGATTAGTAAGAAAATGTAGTGGCATTGTCATATGAATCCAACAATTTACATTCATTATGATAAACTAGTATAGGGTTCATATCGGTTTGCTGAAGCTAGTTTTTTTTTTACTCGTTGTGACATTTTGCTAATGGAGAGAAAAAGTAGGAGAATATTATGATCTTTGGTACCTTTATAGTTGTATTGGAGGCATGTGGGTTTTTTGCTATTCTTTTGATCTGCTTTGATTATTAACTGGTGTATTTGATAAGTTAATGTGTCGTCCTTCCAAAATTTTTTATTTTCATAGAATAGACAAAGGTCTGCCATATTAGAATATTTCTCATGATAGTGGCACATTTGGTTGTAAATTATTTTGTCTTAACTAATTCTAAGTTTAGATTGTTTGGAAATCAATTTTCCTCACTAATAACATATATTTTTAGTATTAATTCTCCTATAAGACTACAAATTTTTCGTTCAATACTATGTTTAGCAATGTGACATACATATTGTTCCCAATGACATCAATAGAATTTTATAGGTATGGTAATTGTGGTTGGAGTCTTTCAAAAAAGATTTAGTGGTAGCACTTTAGGCTCAAAACATTTCCACCATGCTCTTTTAATAAATATATGTTCGGTTCTTGTTAAATTTTAAGAATGTATATTGGATATTAGGTAAGATACTAGTAAGATATTTTCCCCTTTTTTTGTGAGTATTTTTGATGATTTTCGACGATTTTCAAGAGGGTAAACCCTTATGATTAATTATTAGTCTTATAAAAATGAACTTTCAATTAATGATTGGTTGGCTCTAAATGCTAGTTTTTAGTAGCTGTAATTTTGATTTATGACTACGAGAAATATGCCAATGTTAATGTAAAGCCGATGGTTGGGGAGTGTTGATAATGAACTCAATAAAGATTTTATGGTTCCTTGGTAGTTAGTGGATGTAGTTGTCTTGATTCAACCGAAAGATCTTTGTCAATAACCAGGAATTGTGTCGTATAAGGGGACTTTGTAGGTCAAGAGATGTTTGCCTAAATGTCCAATTTTAAGTCTATCTTGTCTAGCATATAACTTCATTCACTATCAAGTGCATCTTAGAATTTACAACTCATTAACTGATTCACTGTGAAACATCCAAGCTTTAGTTGCAATAATGATATATTGCTGCCAATTTGTGGCAAACTGGTACAAATGATGGATGGTTATCTATTTAAGTTTATAAGGGATCATTTATTGGTTGAGCAATCTAAATTTTATATATTTTTATAAGGGGCTTAAGTTTAGGTGTAGTTCCCTTCAATCATAATATTATTTGAATGTATCATCATCAAGGTTTGAGCTTTTCTCTTCTTATGAGAAGAATTGCATACAAA